TGTTATCATTATTATTCTATACCTGTTTCCGTTCTTCCTTTTCCCCAGAAAGTCTCTGTGTTTGTGTCAGTGCTGACCCTTACAGCTATCGCCCTGGAGCGCTGGATGGCAATCTGCGAGCCGCTCATGTTCCGCCAGACGTCAGTTCGCGCCAAAAGGGCGATCGCCGTCGTCTGGCTACTGTCTCTGTCGTCTGCTGTGCCTGACGCCATCTCCCTGGACATCATTCCGGTGTCTGAAACGGCCCGGATGTGCGGACCCACGTGGTCAGAGGAGGCAGAGACGTTCCATTTGTGGGCCATCTTTGTTATATTCTACCTGGTGCCGCTGTGCATAATGACCTTCACCTACGTCAAGGTCGCCCTCTGTCTATGGAGGTCAAACTTTACTGATGACGATGACGGTAGGTTGAAAAGGCGTTAACGATGGAGAAATCCTTATTGTCGTTTGCTGAGAGTTAAAAGAGGTTTGGGGTGATTAGGGGGGAGGGGGGCACACAAGTGGGCTTTTTTATGCCATCTATTTTCCAGCTATCTTTTCACTTGTTCTTTATTTTGCCGCTTTTCAAGACAACAGTTGCTTGTATTAACCTGTTTTTCAAAGTTATGTTAAACGGCGTGGATTTTCATATCCGATAGAAATCAATGTTTAAGATTTTTGCATATTAATAAACAGAGTTAAGGGTAAAGTTTGAAAACAGAATAATGATCTAAGGCTGCCTTCCGTGCCTGTTCATGTGATCAAGTGGTTAATTTATGTCAGAACAGAATGATGTGTAAATATTGTCAAAACTTGATGACGCAATTTCTCAAAATGTCAAGGAAAATGTTTTTCTCACGCTATGTTTCTGCTCTAACTGAGATTGACATATTCCGGAGGGCAGATGACATTGCTGAAGTGTCAAAACAGGCCTACTGCTTTTGTTTTATCTTTGCAATCTATCAAATATTTCTAAACGTTTTTGCTGATCACAGGGCCCGTTATGGATTGACTTGATGTTTGGCTTAACGCCAGGCACACAGAGAGAGTGGAGAGAGAGACAGAGAGAGAGAGAG